CGGGTTATCGCCGCAAAACCCTCGCGTTCACACCGGCGTGTTCGTGGTCCGAGGCGGGGCGGCCTGGAAATCCTGTTTTAGGAACTGTTCTTTCTCAGGGATGTTTATTGCTTGTTTTTAACTGATTATTGGTTGCTGGGAAAGCCCGGGAACAACCGTGCTAAACCCCAGGACCGGTGGTGAATCAATGCCCCGCCTCAGCTGCTTGCCCCCAGCACCTTTGGGTGCCGCAGGGTTGTTTCCGAGGAGGAGGGTGCCGGCAGGGCGGCTCGGGGTATACGTCCCGCCGGGGTTTGCGAGGGCAGCACAGAGGGTTGCATTGATGGTGCGTCGCGACCGTGGGCTAAATCTGGCCTCGGCCAACGTCCCGCTGCTGCCCCTGGGGATTTGGTTTGACTCCGGTTTCTGGGCGGTCTCCAGTTCCTCCTGCTGTGTACCCGCGGCCGTGCTCAAAGGGTTTGTGTTCGGGGATGGAAAAGTCCTTGCTGGAAAACGCAGCGGCGGGGAAGGACAGCCACAAAATGACCGTGAAAGAGGCTTTTTTTAATGCAAAGTGATGCCTTAGATGTAATCACCCTCCTGTAACGCATCGGCACCTGGCTGCGGAGTGCTCGCCCGTGCTCGCCGGACCTCCATGGCTGAGCTTCACCCTTGTCCTCACCCTAGGCTTGCAGATCAGCTGCTTCTCTCCCACCAACTTCACGGGGAAGCAGTCCGCCTACGTCGACACGGCTTGCTGGGACTCCCTCGTCCACCACGGCTTCGATGCCGAGGGACACGCCGTCACCAAGTCCCTCTGGGCTCTCAAGGTATGGGTCAAGCTCACGCCTGGGTGCCCTCAGGTCCCACCTGGGCGCGCGGCGGAGGTGAAGCGGCTCCGCACCACGCAACGCCCGCTTGTCCCCTTTCCCCAGGTCTTCCCCTACTCGCTGCTGGTGGTGGCGGTGCTCATGTACATGCCTTACCTGCTGTGGCGTTACGCGGCCGTCCCCGCCCTCCACTCCGACCTCCTCTTCATCATCGACGAGCTGGACAAATCCTACAACCGTTCCGTGCGCCTGGTGCAGCACATGAGGAAGGTCCAGCAGGCCAGCGCCGAGCCGGAGCGATTCTGGGAGGAATATGAGAGGTGAGGCCGCTGGGCAGCCTCGACTGGTCACCGTGTCCCTCCGAAGTCCCTCCACGTGGCGTCGTGGCTGTGGCCACGTTCAGGACGGACTTCGGTGAAGCGACTCGGTTTAGGGGGGTGGCTCTAAGTCCCCGGTGTGTCCCCTCTGCCCCCAGGGCCCGCCGGGAGAGGTATTTTGAGTTCCCGTTGCTGGAGCGCTACCTCACCTGCAAGCAGCACGCCCACTCCTTGGTGGTCATCTACATCCTGAGGAGCCTGCTCCTGCTCTTGTTCATGGCTGCCACCTGCCTCTACCTGGTCTTCCTCCACCTCAACATCTTCTTCCAGGATGAGTTCAGCTGCTCCATCAAAACGGGGCTGCTCCAGGCGGAGCCCCACATCCCCCCGCTCATCCCCTGCAAGCTGGTCTTCTTCTCCGTCTTCCAGCTCATCAGCCTCTCGGTCGGCGGCGTCTACGTCCTCCTCATACCCGTCGTCATCTACAACGCCCTGCAGCTCTGCCAGTGGGACAAGGGGCTGCTCTCCGTCTACGAGATGCTGCCCGCCTTCGACCTCCTCAGCCGCAAGATGCTCACCTGCCCCGTCAACGACCTCAACGTCATCCTCCTCTTCCTCCGGGCCAACATCTCCAAGCTGACCTCCTTCGGCCGCCTCAACGCCGTGAGCGCCTTGAGGGAAGCTGCCGCCAACAAGCAGGACATCGATACCGTCGTTGACTTCATGACGCTGCTGGCCGGGCTGGAGACCACCAAGCCCAAACACCACACTTGCGCCCTCGAGCCCGACGGCAGCGCGCCCCTCTCCAACGGCGGGGCTCTAGGTAGGCTTTTTTCGGTAGAGAAAACTTCTTTGCTCTTCTCTTGGCTCCTGCACCGCCAGATCCCACCCTGGGATCCGTCCACCGTGGCCCTAAACCCTTTGCCAAGACCTTAAGGTTTTTGGGGGAGAGTCGGGGGGGCTGCCAGGGATCGCCGGGAGGGCCGATGGCTCCGTTTACAGCCAGGGATGGGTTCTGGCAGCCGGGATGTGATGCTGCTGCGAGCCCACGCGTGGGCAGGAGTTGCTATAGGAACAAAAAGCAAGAGAGCTCGCTGCTTAAATCCAAGCTCTGGGCAAACCGGAGGGCCGGGGGGGGTCCCTGTTTTTGACAGAGAGAGCAGCCCAGCCTGCTGGGAGTGGGGTTGGGAGCTTTACATCCCGGGGGGCTGATGCCAAGGACTCCGTGCCTGTCCCCTTCTCCTGTTAGCGTGCCACTGGTGGGCTGCGTGGGGAGATGGAGACGGGCCTCCGAGGTAGAGCCGCATCCCCCGGGGCCTGCATGCATCCTCCCCAGGCACCGCTGCTCCCTCTCCCGCGTGCTCGGGTTTCGGGGAGCCGGGGGTGCCTCCTTTGCCGTGTCACGGGGATCCCTGACCTGGCAGGGCGGGAGACGGGACGCCTGGGCTCCTTTCCTGGCCCTGAATACGCTGTCTGAGGGCTGTGGTTTTAAAAAAAAAAAAAAAAAACCCACCCAGATTGAGCTGTATTTAGCATCCTCGTTGGCGTGGCGACCGTGGGGCTAGCACAACTGGCTCTTGGGCTAGTCGCGCGCTGGTGAAGAAAGCCCAAGATCCCAGTTTGCGATCGCCCAGTTAATTAACTTCCTCCTCTTCCCCTTCCTTGCCCAGAAACGAAGCCTGGAGTGGAAGCGACGGGAAAAGCCTCCCGGGACTCGCTCGGCTCTGCCTGACCCCGAGAGCAGGCAGGGTGGCTGCTGCCGGCACCTACCCAGCTGCTCTGCTGGGATCCGGTTTGATCCAATTCCTTGTTGCCAGCGTTGCTCGACCGCATTAAACTCTGGTTTTGATACAGCCTGGTGGGGTGACGTCTGTAACGCGGCAGCGGCGGCCGGGCTGAGCTCACCTGCTCTCTTCCTGCAGTTGGGGGTTCCCCTTCTTACGTACGTTTTTCCAGCAAAAAAAAGGGTTAAACAATCCATATTTTTTTTTTTGGGGGGCAGAGACTCTCGGATGTCTTAGTCCGAGCGCCGGGTGCCATGTCGCGCCTCTTCCACACAAATTTCCCTGCTGTTACGGCAGGAGGGAGAGAATGGAGGGCTAAGGGATGCTCCTCTGAAGGAAAAAAAAAAAAAGGATCCAAGAATAAAACGAGCCGTTTTTACCAACTATTTATTAGCACGGGGAGGTGGAAGGCACTCACTACTGCTACAAAGCAACACGCCCCGTGCAGCTCCATGTCCCAGCCCCAGTCTTAGCGTTTGGTTGTGGGGTTGGTTTTTTTTTTCTTTCGGCAGAGCTCCTCTCTCCCCCCGCCTCCACCCCGTAGACGGAGGCTGGTCCCTGGATCCTGCGAGCACCCTGCCGTGGGGGGTCAGCTGTCCGTGCCCCAAGAGGTTGGGGTGTCCCGGGGGAGGGGGGCCCAGGACCAGCTCCGCGGGCGGGGAGGAGCAGCAGTGAGGGGTTAAACTCCCATCAGTGTGTCCTGCTGCTCGTCTTAAATGAGATTTATGAAAAATTATGTTTAAATGGGCTTTTTTTATTTCATTTTTTTTCTTTCCCCTGCAGCCTTGACTTCAGGCCAAAGAGGAGCTGGAAAGAGCTTAATTAGTAAGACAGTAATCAAGCCAGACGCCTCCCCGAATCGGAAAGGCACGGTGCCAGCAGCCCTGAGCTGCTTTGCGAGAGGTCTGAGCTCCCTCCGCCATCCCCTCGCCTAAATCCCCCGGGAGAACCAGGAGCCGGGGAGGAGAAGCAGCTCCCTCCCTCCGGCTGTTTCGGAGCGCCCCGGGGTTTCCCCCGCGGGCAGGGCGTCCACGAGGAAAGGGGGTGCAGGCAGACCCTGGGTGTTGTAGAGGGCGCAGGACTCGTACTCGCAGGGCCACTCGGCCCAGGCGTAGCGCAAGCCCAGCACCAGCGTCCCGCAGCCGGCCAGGGCCAGCGTCACCGTGCGGGACTCCACCGCCACCACCAGTGCCGGCAGCCACCCGCACGGGGACGGCTGGCTGGAGCAGCAGACCTGGGGTGGGGGGGGGAGAAAACCCTCCATCAAGGTGGGCTTCCCTCTTCCAGCCCTGGGGGAAGCTTTTCCCCCCTCCTCACCTCGAATGCTCGCGTGTCCCTCCGACGGCAGACGAGCTCCTGGCTGTAGGTGAGGTTCAGCAGCCCGCAGCCCCCTGGACACCTCCAGGACGGCCCGGGTGGGGTACGGCCCCTGGAAAACTAGGCCTTTCTCCCCGTACGCCACAGCCCTGGCGCCCAGGTGCAGCCGGTGGGCCACGTTCTGCTTGTCCCGGGGGTGGATGCTGCCGAGGAAGAGGAGGGGAGCTGGGGTTGGTATCCGATAGCTTCGTCGCTGCGCCCTCGCCCCCCGCCGCCCGGGCCTCGCCGGCCGTAGGGCGTGGGGTACGGCCCCTGGAAAACTAGGCCTTTCTCCCCGTACGCCACAGCCCTGGCGCCCAGGTGCAGCCGGTGGGCCACGTTCTGCTTGTCCCGGGGGTGGATGCTGCCGAGGAAGAGGAGGGGAGCTGGGGTTGGTATCCGATAGCTTCGTCGCTGCGCCCTCGCCCCCCGCCGCCCGGGCCTCGCCGGCCGTAGGGCGAGCGCTCATCGCACAGATCCATCGCCACGGCCATGAAGGTGCCGGGCATCCTGGCGTTGGGGACAACCCCCAGGTCGGCTGTTTGGTGCCAGCGGAGACGGGCGAAGCTGTCGTCCGGGCTCTGCCGGTGATAGGTGGACAACTGCAAGGCAGAGGGTGGGGAGGGGGACGGAGCTGGGGAAGCTGCTCAGCCGTCGCTCCCAAAACCGGCCGCTGCGGTCCCTGCCTGGGATTCGGCAGCCCGGCAGGACCTGTTCACGCGTTTACAGCATCCTCTCCCTCCTGCCAGCTTGGAAGTGGCCTCCGGGGGGCGACAGAAAGGGGAAAACACA